AGGGCGCCAGCGGCGTGCCTTTTTTTTGTTTTTTAAGTTTGTTGTGTTTTCAAGTGTGGGTGGCTCGTCCTTTTTTTTAAGAGGGTGGCTTCTTTTAAAGGAAGCAAGAAGGACAGCCACAAATGTTGGAGGTCGCCTTAAAAACACACGAACCCAAATTTGAATAGTAGTATCAACAATTGTTTGTCCGAGGGTACCCCTTTTTGGTGGTTTCAATTGAACACCAGAAGGGAAACCACCATTTTGGGGGGGTCCCCCCAAAAAAGGATTGCAAACCCATTTTCCCATGGTTTTAATTTGGAATGTGTGATTGGACATTTGATCTCTTTGTTTTCCCAGGGACGTATTCGCAAATGGAAGTTCTCAGACACGTGGGTTGCTTCCATTGTTCCTTCGTTTTGGAGGGGGACAACTTAATGCCATCTACCCGAAACAGGCGCCACTGGGGGTCTATGGGCCGTGGAGGGACATGAAATCTTAAAAGCCAAGGGACTGTCACTGGTTGGATGGATGGATGGACGGACGGTTGGTTGGCTGATTCTAATCTGTCCAATTGTGGTTGGTTGGTTGGTTGGCTGGCTGGCTGGTAGGTAGGTTGGTGATGTCACTTCCCATTCCGACATGATTTGGTCCAAGAGTTCAGTCGTCTATGGTTTGTTTCGGAGGGGCATGGGGCTCTATTTTTATGACCAGATGGGACCAGACAGGAAAGGTTTCAGCGGAACAAAAACAACTTGAAAAGCAACTCAGCGACAACTCAGCCAAAAAACTCAACTGAAAACACAGACTCAAAAAGACACCAAAAAGAACCAAAGAAAGCACAGAAAACACACAAGGGACGACTCAAACAAAACACAGAACAAACTCAGCCTTCAACTCAGGAAAAACTCAGCCTTGAACTCGAACCCCCCACTTGAGTTTGAGGCTGAGTCGGGAGCTGAGTTTGTTTTCAGTTTTTGTTTGATTGTTTGTGTTCGAGTTGTTTCTGAGTTTTGTTGAGTTTTGTTGAGTTGTTGTTGTTTTTGTTTGGTGGGAAAACTGCAAATTTGCTTCCCAACCAACCCCCTCAGAACAAAAACAAACAAACACTCAAACAAACTCAAAAACAAACTCAAAGATCCAGAAAAAAAAAAGACTCGGAAAAAGCTAAAACACAACTCAGAAATAACTCAGACACAAACTCAGCTCCCGACTCAGCCTCAAACTCAAGTGGGGGCATTGAGTTCAAGACTGAGTTATTTCTGAGTTTGTTCTGAGTTTTTCCCGAGTCTTCCGAGGTTTGGAGTTTTCCAGATTGAGTTTTTCGGATTGAGTTTTGTTTTGGTTTTGCAAATTCCTGGGTTTGCGGCCTGTGTGGGCAAGATCAGGTCATAACTCTGGTTTTCCCATGTCCAGTAGGATAGCGGCGCAAGCACCATCTACTTTGCTCGTTGGATGCTCATGAACCTCTTGAATTCAGATCATTACTGCAAAGGTTCCTAAGGGAGCCAAGACCATAAGGCTGACAGTAAAGTTGGATTTTTAGCCCCTTGACTCCTTGATGGATTATCTTGTCTACCCGAGTTCGTGGACTTTAGTCACTGTTTGCGTTTGGGCCATTTTCAGTGGGAAACCAAAGAACCCGGGACTTGTTTGGCCAATCCAGAAGCTGGGTTCCAGATTCCTTTGTTTCAAGGGTGTACAACTGTATGACATGCCTTGAGGCTGACGACGGCAGGCACTGCGCGAACTAGATGGCCCTTTCTCAGCAGTAAACCCCTCGACCCTTGTGCTGTGTGTGCTTGAAGTCCGAGAAACCAAGAACTTGGATGTGACATCAACCACTGGTTGGTTTCCTGCAGCTGTTGCCACAGACACGAGTGGGCCATGTCTGTCAAAGTCATTGTGGCGGACCTTGTTGGACGCTCGCTGCCACTTGAGCTGCCTGCCACGGAAACTGTGAAAGCCATCAAGGAAGCCGTGGCTACATCATGGGGGCTGGATCCTTGCACCTTTCACCTGCTGATGGAAACCAAGCGCATGGATGAAGCGAGCAAACTTGAGAGTTTTCTCACGGAGAAGATGGAGGCGATTGAGGTGCAACTTCTCAAGTTCGACCCTCTCTTAGACCTCGGGCAGTTTGACATCGGCAATCACGAGGGCGTCGAGTTTTCTGGTGAGCATCAGGAAGTGCTGAAGAAGACCAAGGGTTACCCGGATTCCAACAATGTCTTCTTGCGCCGCGGGATTCAGGAGCCATGCTTCGTGGAGTTTGAAGTACGCCGCTGTAGAGATGAGATGTCTTTCGGTGTGACATATGACCGGCATGTGGAGAAACTTTCATCCTCATCAAACCTTTCCGCGACAACCACTTGGATATTTTCCAAAAAGCAGGAACTGCCTGTCTTCTTACTTGGTGGTTCACATGTGAATCCTCCGGGTATGGTTGGTTTACAAGAGAAGGACATCGTCGGGGTCTACGCAGACCCCGAGGCCCGCCTGGTTGAGTTCTACTGCAACGGGCAGCTGGTCGGATCCACGTTGTCTCTCGGTGTTCCTTTGCCGCCGGCTGTTGGTAGGCCTTTGTGGATGTATGCCATGGTGGACCAAGTGCATGATCATATCAGAATCGCGCGATTTGGCCCCGGCAGGCCATGAGGTTGACATGGCTTGTATCATACAGGTGAGCTGGCACGAGACAAGACAAATTCTCTGCAGCCCCTAAGTAGCCATGGGCCGGTTGACCCAGGGAACAAACCACATATGTAAAATAGGCAGAATTTGCATGTTAGGGGAAATTGATTCAGCTGAAAAATATGTCAGGGGAACAATATAGAACATTGAAATACCACTTTCCCATGCATAGCATACCACTTCCAGTGCAGATGGTATGTCCCCTTTTTCTTCAGCTACGAACTCCCTATAAACCGAAGAAGCCCAAAAGGGCTTGGCCCGCGGTCATGCAACTCTGTTTGTCACTCCGCTGCGAAAAATCGGTGACACGTCATCCAGAGCTCCAAGCGGTTTGCAGTAGTTGCGTGTTGGTTGCCAAGCTGTCAAAGCCGCCCACAGCCCACCCCGTGTTTGTGGGACATCCCAAGCCTTCCGAAGACCCTTTATTCAACTGGGTTGTTGTCAGACCCTGCTTTACCCTTGACAAGGGTGTCCTTTGGTGGGTGACAGGAGGTGACATGGAAGCATGGTCCCAAATCGCAGATGGGCCAGAAGAGTCGTTCTAACAAAGCACACGTTGAGAATTTTTAATGCGGGCAAGTGAACAGCATTTTCTTAGGTTGTCCACGGGGCTGAGTGTAAATGATTCCAATTTCCAGTCTGCAGGGAAGACTAGAAAACTGGAATTGGGGGACCCTACCTTCAGGGGGAGGGATGCGGCAGAACCATGTGGCAAATTGGGGTTATAGGGGCATTTTCTGTGACACCAAGGAGTCTCTTTCAAAGTAATAAGATGCTCAGATGACTCACTTTGGTACTGACAATGCGCACATCTTAGTTCAAATGTGTTTTTTTCCTTTCTGACGTGGGCATCAGAGGTCGTAAATGGGCGGGCGTGGCTCAAAATTAAGCAGGAGGGGCAAACCGCAGGTTTTGATCCATGTTTGACCAGGGCAACCCATTTTGGAATTCCAGTTTGTTGAGCCACAGCCAAATGGACAAACCAAAAACACCGAGCGGGCGCCTTCTCGTCCGAGGACGCGCTGGCTGCGAAGCTTCAGCGCTTGGACTTTGCCCCCCTGCCGCCGTCGGAGCCCGGGAGGGCTGGATGTCGTTGAAGTCTGCGGGGAAAGCAACATCGGGGTGTGTCTTGACATGTAGGGGTGGTGATTTACGTGTGGTTTTCCTTTCAGCCAATCAAACAACTTGAAGTTCTTACAAACAACTGCACACCCGTGTGGAGGTGTTGAAGAGTGCCCGGCGACCATTTCGGGCCTGGGCCTGTGTGGTCTTTTTTTTTTTTCATTAAAAAAAAACGATTGCTTTTGCTTTCCAGTTTTCTTTTTTTTGGTCTGGTTTTGGTTTTGCCGGATAGCGGCAACGAGACGGGGCGTTTTGCTCCCCGGCGACAGGAGTGGCCGCTGCCGCGGGTGGCTCAGGTGCCCATTGCGCCGACGGGGCCCGGCCCGGTGCCCCTGACTCACGGCGAAACCCTCGACGTGGGTTTCCTGCTTTTTCCTTTCCAGTCAACCCCCCAAAAGGAATCTCAAAAAGAGCCCGCCTTAATAGGGCGTTCCTTATATGATAGGTAGTTGCAATTTGTTTGAGATACTTACACAGTTTAGAACACAGCTATCTTGCGCAGGGAACACCAATGAGCGCGGTTGTCCGTGCTTGTCAGAATGGGGACAAGTGGGGTGTAGAAGGTTGGTTGGATACACGGACCGCAGTGTCGGAGCTTGCTTCCTTGATATGCTGCGTTTTCAAGGCCAGCCGGCAGGAGCTCTTTGCTTCAGCCCTGGCTGCTTGTGCTTTTCAACTGCGCAGTGCTGTGCAGCCGAGCAGCAGCTGGTCGCGGCGCACAGCAAAACCCTGCGCATGGGAATGGCGCGCAAGCGGCCTGTGCTGCCTACAGTTTGACTTCGGAGGATGCTTGACGTCGTGCCCTGGCCCTGAAAGTGCGGGATATGCAACAGTTGAGCCCGCGCGAAAGTTGGTGCAAAGCCGGCGCCCAGGCCCCGAGCCCAGCTTCACGCCCCGCTCAAGCGAAAGGGGTAGACCGGGTGTGGAGTGCTTTGTCACGGGCCTTTGTTTAACCCTGAAATGTTGGTGGGCGCAACCGTGATGAGCTGGTCTCAGCGGAGCACTTTGCCAGGGGGGTGCTACATTCTATGAGAGGAATTTCACTACCCATTGGTTCAATGTTTTGTTCCCCAGCGCTTCCAGGTACTCCTTTCACTGGCACTTTCGCAAAGTGCCCGTTTAGCCAGCGCTTTGTCAAGAAGCTGGCTTTCAACACCGTGAAAGGTGCGTGAGACACCAGTGAAAGAAGGTGAAAATCTCGTGAAAACAGCGTGAAAAGACACCCTTCATTTACGCATGCTGCTCCCAGTAAAGGCAGCACTTTTATCAAACGGGCTCGTTTAACTTGTCCTTTGGACTTGATGGGTTCTATTGATCAACGATTGAATCAATCCCATCACCCCGGCAGTTGTCATGAGATATGCAGCCACCTGCTTTTGTGCTGCATGTAGAGGTTTGGGGGCAGCGGAAGCCATCTCAGCTCAACTGTTGGGATTCTAACCAATTCTTGGATTGTGTAACATCCCTTGGGGTTTTAACCACCCCGAAACCATTGGATGTGCAGCCACCCAAGGGGTTTGGGAGATTGCTTTGTATTTGGGTTTTTGTTCAACGCGCTGTTAGAATCATTGATTGCTTCTTGAATTGTTTTTTTAGTGCTTACCCCAGTGTCTTCCTTTGGGGGTTGGTCAAAAGGGCCTTCAGCGACGAGCAGGTTCTGTTAGTTCTTTGGAGTCCTCTAGGCTAGGGCAGGTTGGTGAGGTACCATTGCTTTGTTGAGCATGTGCCATTTTGATCAAGCCAAAAAAGTCAGGCTGGCTACTGGGCCGGGCAGGTCCTGCTCGGCTTAATTTTCCTTTCTGGTCGGTGCCATAGCTAGCTCCTTGGCCCTCGCTCAACAGGGCATGGTCAAGGTGGAATCCTGGAGCAGGGGATTCACAATCCGCCAGGAGGTGTCTGGCAGGGCGGTGGCTGAGAAGGCGGCCCGGGCCATGAGCCTGAAGGCGATGGCGCGGGGGCTGTTTAAGGAGGCCGGCCAAGACTCACCGATGCCCGTCAGGCCCAGTACAACCCGCCCGATGCTGTTGCTGCCTGGCCTTCCAGCTCGCCCGTTGGCGCTGAGCATCTGCAGAAGGTCGGAGGAGCCACGCTGCGCTCGGCCTGGCTCTATCTAAAAGAACCTTTGGGCGCACGCCTCCAAGCAGAACTTGAGGGTGTCTGAATTGAACAAACGCCTGCTCCAATGCCGTCACACAACAGGTCGTGACCAGAGGTTGTTGGCATGGCTCACTCGGAACGCCAGGATCCCTCCATACCTCAGCATCCTGCTAATGATGACCCCAGCTTCGTCGGGGACAAGCAGCTCAGGCGCCAGTATTGAACCGGAGAAGGCGCCGCTTCAGGCATGTTCAGAGATCTCTCGCAAGAGCCGATGCTGGAGGCGAGAGGGGTTCCATCGGTCAATTTTTCAACCTTGAGGCGATTGACCCTGCATTCCAGAGCGTAGCCGTGGCGTGCACACACTCAAACATTTGGGCACCAGTCTGATCTTCCGGGATGTGCTTGTGCGTTCCAAGCTTCGGAAGCCCGTGAACGAGCCAGACAGGGCCGGAGGCTGGTTGTTGTAGGGCAGTGGAAAGGAATGAACGTTCCAAATCTCTAGATCAGGGTCACCTTGAAAGGATTGCCGTGGTGAGCCAGCTGAGACGTGGCCAAGTAAGGACAACTGGTCTGACGGGATGTCACGCGATGGATTGGCGGAAGCTACATGCTGCCCCCCGGCCTTCCTTCTCAGCTCCTTCACACCTGTAAGTTCTTTTGAGTGGCTTGGGATGAATGCATTGGGAATCGGTTAGATGAAGCCCTTGTCAGGGGGCTGTCCGAGAATGTCCGAGATGCGGACCAGGAGTTACCCGGCTGTACCAGAGCACTTTAATATGAACCGTGCGAAGCCGGGACCTCTAAAACAAGGAGGCGTGACCGTGGTTCTACGAGGAAGAAAAAAGATATGCGCAGTGTTCTGATAGAGCCCTTAGGCAGGGTAGGTTGGCGAGATACCATTGCTTTGTTGAGCATGCATGCCTGCTGGCCGTTGTGATCAAGCCAAAATAGTTGGGCCGCTGGGCCTGCTTGGCTTAATCTTTTTGTCCCCCGAAACCCACCCTGGACCATTGGTTTGGTTCTTTGGTTTGCTGAATCGAACACGTTTTGAAAGGGGATCTAAATCTATCCTCCTCAGGTGCGCGGCTTCCTTTTGGTTTCCCTTCAAAAAGTCCGCCCAACAGGACCCTGATTGTGAGAAACATTCTTGTGCTCCAGGGGCGCAATCGCAAATGGAGGGTTTGTGAATCCTTGGATGTCCAAAGGCTATCAGCGACTGAGGTGTGGTGCTGGTTCATGAAGTGATGGACCCGGCGGAGGACGCGCGGCCCGACTTCACGCATCGTTTTTGGTGTGAATCGATTTTCTTAAATGGCAATGAGGGAACCTCCTCGAACATGTTTTTGGGCAAGCGGGATTCGGACGGAGCTCAAGTCTAGGAGTTAGGTGTTTGATCCCCAGAAACCCTTCGAGTCACGGTCAAAATCCCCCAGTTGAGCACGTTTGGTTTTTTTTTGTGGACCCCCCCCTTGTTGGGTGGTTAGGTTTGAGAGCAACGAGCTCACCCACGAAGGTCCTACCAAGCTTCCCTCTCTGGTTTGGGTTGATAAAAGAAGTCAAAAGTAAACCAACCCATTGCGAGAAATACTGTTTCTTTCCCCTTTCTAGCCCTTTTTTTTGTGATCTCCCTGTCTAAGTTGTTTCCATTCCGAATGTATCGCCAACATCAACGCCCCGGACCCATTTGAGGTGGCATTTGTGTTAACGTTTGCGTCGGGATTAGGTGGCATTTGCGGCTGATACCGTATCTACATTCTGGTCAAGGTCCGCGCGTTGTTGGGTCACTTTCCTGGCAACAACTCAGGGTGAAGGGTCGCAAGCCAGCAACCGTCCAGGTTCAACAACAGGTGTTTGGCCTGAATTGTTGCTCTCGCCGCTCTCGCCCCGCCAATTGTAAAAACATGAGTGGTTCCCTTGGAAGAGCGGAGTCCAATGAGTCCGAATCCGGATTCTTTTTATATATACAATTCAAATCCAGAAAGAATATGTCATGAACGACTTCTTGTTTGAGAGTTCACAGATTAGCTGATTATTTTAGTGGCAGCAAAGAAGAACAGGATGCTCGCTAGCATACCAGTCCGGTAGGCACGGGAGTTTATATACATAACTTGGTTGTGTCAAATGCCATCAGTTTGCAGTAAATTGATTGAATCCTGATCGTTGCTCATTTGAACAGGGCCCAAAGCCAATTTTGGTTCTACTAAAATGATTGTACATGTTTAAGTAGTCGTTACAATCAAACATGCCGTGAAGCCAGGCAACAGAACCACCTACTAGAATAGCCAATCATTTGTGCAAGATACGGGTCCCTTACTGGTTAGTTGTTTTGGGCTTCCTTTTGGATGACATGCGACAAAGTTAGAGCTTGGTCTTCCAGGTATTTGGTATAGACCGGGCGCTGTCAAACGAACCCATCTCAAATGATCGGGGTGTGCACACACTTGGGAAGCCTAACCGTAGGTCAACACGGAATTATTAATCAATGTTTGTTTGGTGTTCCATGTGAACGTGCGGGGTGGAAAAGTGCGGATGTAGATGCAACAAGCACATGCACTTCAAAGCAAGATGCAAAAATAACACAGGATGAGTTATAATGATGATTGTTTGATGAATTTGCAAAGCTGATGCCGAATGTGGCGACCCCATGTTCTTGGCAGATTCATGGCCAGACTGACGCTGGTCAGTGGATCATACTCTCCAGATGAACATGGAATCCTCAAAGCACTCATGAAGGACCCTCCGTTTTTGGGGGCTTTCAATGAACTGTACCTTCCCCATCCTCTAGTGTTCAATCCGTCGTGAGGAGAACTCTGCTGTGGAGCTTCTCTTTCAAGGAGGCGGGGTCCCTTGAAGGCAAAGGACGCATGGCCATGAATTTCAAGAAGGAACCCCTCCAAAAAAAATGGTGGACATGAATCCCCACCATGGTGCCCACCAAAAGCTAAAGGTCCCCCAATGATCAAAGCACATACCCAAATGAATGCCAACATTCGTCTTGCATGATCGTGAGGCAACTTCATGATTCTCTGTGGGAGAGATGGGAATGAGACATGGAATGACCCCAAGAAGAACCATCCAACTGGTGGTTTTTGTTTTTTCTTTTCATGGGGCTTGCAAAGTTTAGGTTTTCAAAGCCTAGGTGCATTCCACCACACCTCCCTACCTATGGCACCGGTCGCGCCCAGGCAGCTCCAGGGGCGGAGACCCGGAGCAGATGGAGGCCCTAGCGGTGCTACAGGCCGCGAAGCGCATCCAAATTCGAGCGAGGGTCGTGCTTTGAGGGTTGATTTGAAGGGAAACCGTGTTTTGGGTTTTGAGTCGTGAACATGATTTTGACTCGTTACTTTTTGGGGAAGCCCTTTGGCTATGAATGTCAGAGTTGGAACCACCTCACACAGTGGTTGGTGGACGGACATCTCCACAAAAATGGGTATGGGTAAATTAAACCACCAGGGGACCGCAGGTTTTAGTCCATGTTTCCATTTACCAGGGTTCCATTTTAGGTACACCTTGGGAACCCCGGATGAACCCTCTTGGGAACAACCGGGTTAAAGGGCCTCTCCACGGCGGTTGCGGTACAATGAAAGCCGGGTATTAACGTGGTCTACCCAAATCAATGTAAAGAAGTACAGTTCCGGATATTTGCATTAGGACCAACATGGGCGTGTGTATTTGGGCCTTCTGGTTCCCATGGAAAACTATTTGAAACTATTTATACAAAGTAAGAGAACTATTCGAGACTATTTAGAAACAATAAGTACATATGAACGGGGCCATTGGGTCTATGGAAGCAAACATATGGGTAGCTGTGTTTTGAGGCTAGCCTGTTTGGGGTCGATCGGGATTCCCAAGAGAACCGACCATTTTGGAGGCGTCCTAGTTATCCCGAGTTGTGAGTCAAGCCCATGTTGACGGCATCTCAAAATAGATTTTGGGTGGATCCCCTGCGCCACTTGTCTGTTCTACTACACCCCAGCATATGCATGAGTGTAGCAGGTGAAAACTCTCACAACAAAAGAAAGAAAAGGTGAAACCTGCACATTCCTGTTAAGTGGTCTCTCCGCCAACCTTATCTTGGCCGCAAGTGATTGTATTCACGAGTTTGGGTGGATCCCCTGTTCACCATTAAAGATGTGAGAGTGCCATCTCTCGGGCGAGGGGTATTTGCGCGAAAGCAAGAGGGCAAGTGCTGTTGGTGTCACGCGGCTTCCGGGTTCTTCAACTGCAGAGTTCACTTCAGCGAAACTGTGCTTACTGATCGGCACAGCGACCTCCCAACCTATGGGGAATCGTGTTTGTTTGAGTCGAGTTTTCCCCGGCGCCGGGGCAACGTTGTTGCATGGGGTTCAGGAGCTAGGCTGAGCGCAAAACCAATGAAAAGCGGCTGGGCAAGTGTTGTTTTCATGCTTGCCATGCTAGTAAGACTCGGGCATGCCTCAAAATATGGGAACCTCCTTTTTTTGGATTGCGTTTGAAATGATGCCGCAATTCACGCGACATAGGAGTTTGAGCCAACACTACACGCATCGTCTCTTGACATCGTACATAGTTACGTTATTCATGTTCCAGCATGCACATGTTAGCACTCGACATCGCCAATACACCATAAGGTATGCCAGCTGCAACACCCTTGGTACGACCGTGATCATGATGATGCGGCTGTTCAGGGTCAAATTAATAGGGATCCTAGGGGTCCACCAACCTCAAGGACTTGGCACTGCATTGCTTTCGCATTCGCGAAGTAGTTGAACCCGAGAAAGCGCACGTGAATAACTTTGCTAACTGTAAACACTCCTCAATGGGAAATATGAGCTGTCACAATCATGTACATGCAACACGGATAGCATTCAAATTGTAAACAAATCCTTGACCACTCTTGCATGTGTGAGGAGATGATATATATATATATATGTACTATCTACTTCTCTTCCAATTTGGAATCAACCCTTAGACAGATGTCATACAATTTGGGCTTCTATTTCAAACGTGGTACGCGAGCGCGAGGTGCTGGCTTCTGCCATCAGCGACGAGCGCCCTGGCGTTCTGATGTCTGGGTTCGTGTGGGTGTTGTTTAAGATACCTTAAGGTTTGGTTGAGGATTTGTTTAGAATCTGCATTCTGTTTAGGTGTTTTTTTTTCTCCGTTTTTTCTGTGGGTTTGGCTTCAAAACGGAAGCCACAGGAAGTTCACATGGCAAGTTCCAAGCTGGATGGAGAGCCAAGGAGCTAGGGGTATCGAAAAATTGCCTTTTGAAGAAGAAGCTAAGGAGCTGCTTGTCTAGGGGTACCTTCCCCATTCATTCCAGGGATCCTTCTTTTCAGGAAACCATCAAAAAACCAGGGGAAACAGCCGGTGTTTGAAAAGAACGATGGTTGAAAAGAATAGGAGTTCTGTAAGAATATGGTGCCACGGGACGGAGACCCTCAGATACCAAAAAAACATTCTCCCAAACTGATATGTGCTGCCCTGAGCGCTTGCCCAACTTCGACTGAGTATTGCAGAGGCCTCCTTTGATCCCACGCCTGTTTTTCGTGTTTATGACCTTATTTGGAAGCTATGGATTTTATTCTACTGAGCTTATGATAAGCTCCTTATCCTTCGTTGGCGGTTTGTGTTGGTGGATTGAAGGGGACTGGCCCCCAATCGACTCTAGAAAACAACAGCTTCAAAACCCCCACCAACCAAAAGCAGGGGTTCAAATGCCCAAAACGCCACTCCAAGCCAATTCAGGAATTCAGGATTACGTAAATCTTCGGGGTAACTAAATGGACCATTCCCCATCCAACTAATTAACCATTTGCTGGGTCCGGTGAGCCGAATGGTGATTTGGGGAAGCGAAGAAACCAAAGCAGCCGCAGGCTTTCAGGGCGGATGAAAGGGAACCAACAGTCTCCACCTCGAGGTCGTCTTTGACGTGGCAGTCCCACCAAAGAATCAGCCACCTGCTGAAAGGCAATGCTTGATCCTTACCTTGGGTTGAAGGGGGTCACCTTTTTTGTGAACAAATCCATAAGGATTGTGAAACATCGGATTGCCACTCCATTTTGAACAGCCCAGAATAGCACAAAATAGGTATGGCTTTCTTTAGGGGACTGCCCAAATGCTGGGTTTTCCTTTGGCGCTCCGCGATCTGACCGCTTCTGCTTAGGTTCTACGAAGAGCTGCGCACGCGGGAGCAGCTGGGCTACGTGGTGTCCTGCCGCGCCGACCGGAACGAGGGCGTCTTTGGCACGGACACCTAGACATGGCCACAGCTGGTGTACTGGCAAGGGGTGTTCTCGTTGCCCAAGCAAAATCATCAAATGGCTGTGGCTCAAAAACATGTCCAAAATAGCACCTAGGTAAGTGCCACCAAAGACTAAACCCGCGTAACCCTAGCTCCTTAAACTTGGGCCACACCCAAATGGGCTTGAGGGATGCTAACGAAAACCATTTCAACAAATCAAGCTACAGTGTGTCAATCCCAAAGAGATGAAGCTAATTTTCATATCTGGGGGTTGCAGAAAGATGTGTTTGAAGGTGAACAAGATATATAACTCTGAACCATATGGACCCTGGAACTCCCGGCAAAATTATCCGGACATCGTCCCATAAATTTGTGGCAACCTCCCATTTTCATCCCGGTGATTTGTTCGGTGTACCAAAGATGAAAGGGTAGTTTCCCCGTTCTTTCCAGGCATCCTTCTTTCTAGAGAACCACTCAAAACCCTGGAAAACAGCTGGTTTTTGAAAAGAACGATGGTTGAAAAGAATGGGGAATCAACCCCTGGAAAAGAGGCCCTTCTGCAGTTCCATCGAGGCTTGCTCTTCCAGGTGCAGGGTGCCGCGAAGAGCGCGCTCGAGGCGGCCGAGGGCTTCGTATGGACGATCTCGCTTGCGACGGTGGATGGTGCATACTGGTGCTCAGTAGGGAATGACCGTTCCGGTTGGGAATCAACTGGAGGGGATTTTCCCTAGAAAACCACACGAGTTCCCCTACTTACTTGGGACCATTTGTGTGGAAAGAAGCAAGTTCAGGCTGTGTTTGGAGAGCGTTTAACCTTTTTCCCTTTAGTCCATACAGCAGGTTCCAAAAGGTCTACCTTGTTTTCCAGGTGCCCTGGGCAAGGGGGGTCCCCAAAACAAAACACGCTCTATTTCCGTTCCATGTTGACTATGTCAGGCCCGCCCCGTTAGCGCGTCTTGGTCTGGAGCACTGTAGATCAATAATGAGGAAAATTTGGAAAATGCTCGTAGACGCGCAGACATATCAGGGCCCCGCTTTTGAACCAAGATGGGTGCAGCTTTTTTGATGGAACTTACTCCAAAATGAGTGGTTTCTGTTTGGTTCCGAAAAAGAGACCCCCAGAATGCGGGATCATACATTGGCAGGGCCTGAAGCGATAGCCGAGCTGACAAGCCAATGTGGCCAAGCGATAGACGATTGTTTGCCACGCCGAATCCAGCCGGATGTTTTGAACCCCACCAACCCGGCAGACCCCACCCAGAGGACTCCCGGATAGATCATTACAACAAGTTTTGTTTGTTTTTTTCTCACACGGCCCATTCCATTTGCTTGTTTGTTTTATGCTCCCTGCTTGGGTTTCAAAGTCACTACTGAAAATAGTTCTATGTTTTCCAGGAGGCTGAAGCAAATGGAAGGCCCAGGTTGGTCCGAAGTTGACAACGCCGAACAGTGTACTGCGACTTTCAAGCGTCGGGCGCAATCCGATGAGGACAAGCAAAACCAAGCATCAGGGTAGAAGGATACCTGGAAATGAGATGTAGCCCCAATATAATGGGGTGATGTCCCTTTTCATGGGTAGTTGGACCACCGCCCACAGCCGCCCGTGGGACGAACTCCATTTTTTGGTGTTTTTTTTTGTGTTTGAACTCAATTTTCCCCGTTTTTTTTGGTGTGGTTGAGGGTGGGGGGTGGGGGTGGGGGGATGATTACGTCACTTCTTTGAGTTTGCTTGACAAGAACTTCTTTATTTCCTGTTTCTGTGGGGTGTGTGGCGTTCTTTGTTAGTGTGCTGAGCTGTCTTGTTTTGCTTTAGCATCTTGTGCCCAAGCCATGGTGTCAGAAGACGTTCGTCTAGCGTCTTTGCCTTCATCGTCTTGCTGCGTTTGGCTGGCGTCTCGCAGTGCTTCTCCACACACTCGGCGCTGGGTCCTTTCTTCACTGTTTGGCTGCCTCACTTGGACTCTCTTCTGGACGTCGCATGCCAACCAGCGGACCCCATCTCGTCCTTTGTGTCTGCTGTCACGGTATGCCCACAGAGGTTTCCGCTTGACTTTTCGGCTTTAGGCGCCTACGTTCCTTTCTTGTTGTGGTCCACCTGGTGTGCATCCTGGAGTCGTCATCTGCTGCGCCCTTGCTCTGCTTCCATCGGCGTGGCTTCTGCTTGTTGGATCTTGTCTCGTCGCTTGTCTGGCCTACGTCTCGTCGCTTCGGGTGAAGAACAGACTAAGGACCCCTTCCCCCCGTCCGTTTTTGAAAAGAGAGTTGAACATGCCAGTGTGTTGCCTGCAACCGAAAAACCGACAAAGATGTTTTGGGGTAATAACCTTTGGGTGAAGAACAGACTAAGGACCCCTCGCCCCCGTCGGTTTTTGAAAAGAGAGTTTATCATGCGGTTCCCAGGCAACATGCGGTCTTGAACATGCCAAAATCCTTGACAAACGATAGTTGGGGGCTGGAAAAGAAAATGAGCTTCTGAAAGCAGCGTGCCAGTGGGATTTGGGAACGCAAGAAATTCCCCACTGTCTCGGCCATTTTACATGAGGGACAAAATCCTTGAAACACGATAGTTGGGGGCTGGAAAAATGAGCTTCTGAAAGCAGCGTGCCAGTGGGATTCGGGAACGCAAGAAATTCCCCACTGTCTCGGCGCATTTTACATGAAGGAAAGACGGGGCTTTCCTTTCCCCCCTGTAATCGCAGCTTCGACAAGGTGCTCCGAAGCCAAAAAACGCACGATGTTACGCGGGCTACTATGGGCGGTGTACCTGGGTAGTTTGAGGTACAAGGACGGTCCACCGGTTTTTCAACCCAATTGGGTCTTACGCCACGTGTCTTACCAAGGGAGTTACCCTTGAAAAGTAATGAAGTAGTCATGGGAATCAACCAGTTTGGCATATGTTTTCACACCCTTGGCTTGAGACCAGGCTTCCACAGTGTTTTGAAAGAACCATACCTTGTCAAGCGTAGCAAGCCATCTAAATGAACATGATCATGTATACAATGTACAAACATGCATCCATGCCTACGGAATTGATCTGAACTGCTGAACAAATCGGTGCGTGCATCGCCTTGGCCCCAGCATCACCAGCCAACTAACGACTCGGAATACGCAGTGTCATAATTGCCGAGTGATTTCTCTAAAGGGCCCCCCCTCCATTGAAACTCATACAGCTTTATTCGAAAGCTGTTTGGTTGCCCCCTTGACTTGCACGCAACAAGACCACCTTAGGTAAACGGGTTGTTGTTGCCCCGAACCGAGCTCTAAAGTGTCATCCTCAATTTTGCCCTCGAACCTATCGACTGGGTTTGTCCACCTGGCCGGTCAAACAAAGCCACTTTCGCGTTCTCAAAATGCGGGCAATACACTTCTGGGTCGACTTGTTGTTTGATCCACAAACTTGGCCTTGAGACCCGGCTCCACTTGGAACAGGTGAATAACTTTTAGAGTTCAAGCAATCGTTAGGTTCTCGAGCGCATTGATGCCTTCCTGGAGACGGTGCCGGAGCTGTTAAAGGCACATGCGCTTGACATGTGAAGTGTGCAGAAACAAAAACAACGAATCAGGGGATCGGAGGGTAGGGGATGGGTTCATTTTTTAGCATGGGTGGCGGGTAATTTGATGATATGAAGTCCAGGAGTTGATTATGACTCATGTAAGGTGTGGATGTGGTCAAAGAATGTTTCCCCAGACATCCTGTCGTGACCCTCCTTCTCGTCCCGACTCTATGAGGTTCGGTGAAAGTATGTCGGTCCAGAAAGGGACGAGAAGGGACTCTCGAAATGGAACAACTCGTTGATTTGTCCACGGGCAACGGTTAATTTCGACCTTTGTCAATGTTCAAAGATGGCCCAGCTTTTGGCCCTGCTGAGTTTCCTTTGCTGTCCTTTTCGCAGCGGTGGGTGTGTGAGAAGCAAGATCTGCTTTGAGGTCTTGTGCCAGTCTCGTAGAGTATAGAGACGCGGGTGTGTCCGGAATGAGGAGAATTTTGGGGTCGTATAGGGAATTCAAACAAATGTCTCCGGCCCGGCTATGGCCTCAGTGGAGTCTTCTTCGAGCTGAAAAAGCCATCCGATCCGCGAAGAAACCTATCCTTTCTGTGCTGGCTGTGTGCGTGTCCTTCTTCTATACCAAAAGCCATGCGGAATAGCCCCATCTTTCTGTCACTTAGGAGACCCTGATCCTTGGATTGGAAAACCCGCTGGAAGGGCAATGCTCCTCACTGGGAACAATCACTCTGGAACACTCCTGCACAACTTCTGCATATACAATACACTTAAAAATCACATATATAGGTATCTACACATGTGTATAGACAATGACTTCTTGTACGGTATGTCAATTTAAAGGTATGCATTCCTTGTATTTCCCTGTTACTTCCTGGAGCCTCCATCGTAGCAACAAAATATGCTTCGACACACAAACTGACACGTTGTAGCGTTTTTCCCTCCACAATTGCTTTCGAGCATTTTTGGGGGCTTCAAGCAGAAATCAAGTTCGGTAGTTTCTTTGGGAAGAGTCATCAACAAAACGAGCGCAAAAAAAAGTGCAAAATGAGTGCAAGTCGGCGTAAAAAAGTGCAACAAAGTGCAAACGAGCGAACATCCAAAAAATGTACAGGGAATGGCTTCCGACGGGCGCATGATTGCTGACAACTCGAGCGTTTTTTTGTTGAATTGTACATTTATTCTAGATTAGGTTGCCACGAGCATAAATATTTCGAGCAAAAAATATGTATCAATGGAGGCTTGCCCTCAAGACACACGGGGCCCCGCAAAAGGAAGCTGCATGGACCTTGGAAGGGGTCAAGTCAGGCCCTAAGGGTTTCGAATGGCCAAATCGAACAAAAACCAAGGGGACCACTTAACCTGCACTTGTGAGAGATTTGTGGTTGGATGTAGTTGCTTCAACAGCTATACCCTCTTTGCAATCAAGTGGACATGAGGGCCACTGGGAGAGCACCCCAGCCCCTTGATCGGTCTCTTGACCTGTGTCTGGGCCTTTGGTTGCATCTTCTGTTCCAAAAAGACTGTCGGCCGACGGGAATTGGGTCACTGCAATGGTGCATGTTGTTTGTTCGGGCTCACGTGTTACGGGCCTCGCCAACTTGGACCCCCTCTCCATTAATGGGGAAAGGCTGAACAGCAGAGAGAAAGGCGAGGTAGGCTCACGGCAGATGAGACAGAGGAAGACATGACCAGTTTTCAAGAAGATGAGTACATGAGATGACTGCAGGTGACGGAGGACCTCCAGCAGGTGATCACCGTCTGCGCTCAGCGCCCACAATGGCCAGACTGGACAATTGGTCACGGTCACAGCTTCAAGGTTGGCCTCTTCCGGACGCGAGTGAAGAAGGTTTTCCAGATTACGACTTTGGCCTTGATGCAATCTTCAAGCGCAGGACATTTTGTGTAGTCTTGCAACATGCCCGTGGTTGGTCTCATGGTGGCTTTTTGGATTGGGAGGAGGGCGTGGATTTTGGGCTCGCAATGCGACTCAAGCGCCCGACCGGTCGCAGCAATTCAGCCGGGCCTTGAAGCGGTGCCAACCGCACGAGCCGCCCGTGCTGGCTTCGGCTCTGCTTCGGCGGGCGGGCATTCTCTTCAAGGTCTTCGTCTTCAGAGCGTCCATATTAAAAGATTCAAGTGGACATGTGGTTTTGAAAAAGACTACGATTCTCTTGAAACGGCTCAGAACAATCGGTTCCGTTTTCTTGGAACAATGATATTTATACATACATGATTGGACAAATCTAATTATATATAGATATACACACAGGGTAGCACCGTTCCAAGAGCATTTGCTGGTATTTACATTTGGATTGAGCAACTATAAACAAATATACATAACTATATAAATAAATAAATATATATATATATATACATATCCATTAGGCTACTTCTTGGGTCGGTGAGCCGAAACTTGGCCGATTCGCGCTGCGCGCTGGAGGCCAAGAGTGAGGCAGAGGTGGCCCAATTGGCGGATGCCCTGGCGGAGGCCTTCGATGGCAATCGGCTGGGTTAGATGTGAAAAACCCAAAGGGGCCCACGCGAAAGAAAACAAAGGGCGCAGTAGAAACGAAAAACGCCGAAGAGATGAAACCGGGACATTTGTTCTGTGGTGTCGCTTCGGCTTTCCTGAGTTGTTTGTTGAAAAGGAGGCGATTTGAGGGCGAATTGATATTGCTGGGTCCCGTGGGGTGGTTGCATTGTAAGGGTTCGTAACATACAACTGGGGCGAGTAGATGGAGGGTAGTTTTAAAATATGTTCAATGGTCTATGCGGGGTGCAGGAAACCCTTGAGACACCATCTAGATGTCATTCTAATGGACCCAGTACAGCGAAGTGGATTCTTCACCCATTGCCATTTCCTTACCATTGGCAACCAACTAAAACAGCAGAAATAGAGAACCCCAACTCAAGCAAAGGTAGGTATGAGTATGTGTCAAAATCGGGGTGCCCTAAAAGTGGGGATTTGCCTCGCTATACTGGCAAAAAATGGGAACATGTTTTGGCCAGGCAACTTGCTCGGAAGTGAGTTCCCTTTAGATAAACTCCTCGTGAGTGTTCGTCCACTAACGTAGAGCCCACCAGAGTTTGGTCAGATTCCATGGTAGTGGGTAGGAGGGTGCTTGCCTAAAGATTTGACGATCGCAGCGCACGGAAGTCAATCATGTCTTTGATTCCCTTTTGTTGTAACCGAAAGTGGTCCCCTTTGTAGTAGTTTAATTTAATGGGGATTATGGGCTGGGGTTGGCCAACACGAACCATGTTGAGCCGCACTTCCAAAAACACATTCTTGTAACACTTGTTTACCAAGTACCACATCAACAAAACCAACAAAGAAACAAACACACAAACAAGCAAGCAAACAAGCAAGCAAACAAGCAAGCAAACAAACAAACAAACAAACAAAACATATGGTTTAATGCAGCACGCCTGCAGCCGAGTCGGGCCCGGCTTCCGAACTTCAGGCGCGGCTGGCGCGGCCCCAGTCGCTGCTGGGGGCGGCGCAGCGCGTGTGGGCGGAGATCCGGAGCCCCGCGGCTTTTTTCAGCGGCCATAGTGTGCACGAAATCCATTTCGCACCAAGATCGATTCTGTTTATTGTTTAATTGTTCAAGTACATTGGTGATTCTGTTTATTGTTTAATTTGTTCAAGTACATTGGTTTTCTTGGTTTATTCTTCGGAAACCCCGGTTTCTGATTCGATTCCCCGAGAAAATCCCAAGATACAAATGCTGGCCAGAATGGTTTGAAACCCTGGTTTCTGATTCGATTCCCCAAGAAAAGTCCCAATAAACAATGCTGGCCAGAATGGTTTGAAGCCCTGGTTTCTGAGTCGATTCCCCGACAAATCCCAACAAACAATGCTGGCCAGAATGGTTTGAAGCCCTGGCTTCTGATTCGACTCCCCAAGGAAAATCCCAAATGCACAATGGTTTCAAGTATGGTCTCCAACTGGCGCGAAATGGATTTCGTCCACAGACAATGGCCAGGGTTCCACTCTTTGGCTAAGGCAGACTTGCATCCAGGGGTTCTCTCCTTTTGGGGGACATGATGCACCCCTGGGTTTAAGCCTACCTTGAGGTAATCAACAAGTGGAACCCTGCTGCCCCCCCCCCCCCCGGAAAAAAGAAAAAACAAAAACTGCTCTTCTCGGGCTGTTCTTGGGATTTTGATGGGAAGAAGCAGTTGGGGGAACCAAAACGCGGCCGAAAAAGGACTCATGGGGGAACAACATACCAAGTCCGGTGCGCAACAAAAAGCCCAACGCCCTCGCGAACACCGGGTCGCCGCGTTCCGATCGAAACATCCCTTGATCGATCCCGAGGCCGGGAGTTCCGGTGGGCGCGGCCGGCAGAGGAGGCGTTGGCGCTGAAGAAGGTGCGGAAGGCGCAGGTCCTGGAGGCGGGTGGAAGAAGGTCCATGTGGGTGTGTCCTTCTTTTGGGGGGAACCCTCCAAAATGGTTGCTTTTAGTTTGATTTTTTTGTTTGGGGAGGGAACCCTATTTTTTTTTTGTAGGGGACCCTCCAAAATGGTTGTTTTCCTTCTGGTTTTCCTGGTGTGTTTTTTTTGGGGGGGAACCCTCCAACATGGTTGTTTTCAGTTTGTTTTTCCCGTTTCTTTTTGTAGGGGACCCTCCAAAATGGTTGTTTTCCTTTTGGTTTCGATTTTTGTTTGAACCCTCCAAAATGGTGGTTTTCAGTTTGGTTTTCCTTCTTTTTTTGGAACCCTCGAAAATGGTTGTAGGGGACCAAAATGGTTGTTTTCCATTTGGTTTTTCTGTTGTTTTTGTAGGGGACCCTCCAAAATGGTTGTTTTCCGTTTGGTTTTTCGTCAAAAGGTGGCATGCAATAGGGGTCATGAGTTGGAATGAACCTGGGGATTTCCAACTACAGGAAATCGCCAGTTGGGGTCATTCCATTGGCAAGTTGATCAAGATTCCATTTTGGGGGCCCCCAGTTTTGACCATGGGTAACTTTTCCCGCGCGGGTTCCTTTTGGTGGTTTTATGATCGATGGGCATTCCATGTAAAGGACCTTTTGATCCACCCCCAATTGCTGAAACGGATATCTTAGATGTTCCCCTGTTGGTTTAAAACTCGTTTTAGTGGTAAACAAGTTTCGGATATTTTTTTTGGGCATCCACTTGCGAAGTGGGGTATTTGCAAATGGAAGAACAGACCAAATGATGCCTATGCAGGTATCTGACATTTCAGGATTATAGCAAAGACAATAAACAAAAAGCTGCAAAATCTGGAAAAGATGGTTGCAAGAGAGCTGACCTTTGGGTTTGGAAAGGGAGAAGGTTTGAAGGGAAAAATCTAATTAACACCCACCATTTTGAGGGTCTTGGTTTAATAGTTTAATCTTTGGCCTTTCCAAATTTACATATGTCTATCTTTTGGTCCCAAAAGGTGATCAACTCCAAAGATCCAGGTCCTTGCAAGCGGGGGGTAGAAGGGAAGGGAGCCGCTGAGCTGGGGGTATCCAAATTTGTCTATCAGGGAGCTAAGGAGCTACCATGAGTACGGACATGATGGTGCTAGAAAATGATTTGGATGTGGCTCTTGTGGATCCTGCCCTGTAGGATAGACTAAAGGAGTGTTAAAAGAACGCAAAAAGAGCCAACAGGGGGAAGAACCAGTGAAAATCCACAAATCACACATCTAAACCGAACCAAGAGTAGTTGAGCCCACTAAAAGTGCCCAGAGCGTGTTAGGCCACCCGTTTCGTTTGCAACCACCTTCTCTTGGGCCTGCAATATGGCAGTGGGTCAAAAATATGTACCCACAATGGCAACCCTGGTAAATGGACACATGGATTAATCCTGTGGTCCCATGGTGGTTTAATTTTGACCCACAGCCATATGGACTCCAAGTTTCCATGGCACTCTTGGAAGGGTGTCGTGAGAAAAGTCAACTAGAAACAAACAAGTGTGTTCCCATGGCTACTGGGAATCTGGGCCACAGCATGGGTATGGCTTCCCAAGTCTTTGTTCAACCGCACCTGCCGTTCTGCGAGGAACCTTCATTGTTTGAGGACCCCCTATGACATTCTGGGGACTCTGCTGCTAGCGCGATTAAGGCTGTTGGCGCGGGTTAACACCAGAACAGCGTTTGGATGATCTCCATTTACTTTTATATGCCCCGTGTTTTTTCCCCTTTGTTTTTTCTTTTCTGTTTTTAACACGCAACCTCTATCAATCCAACTCGTGCCTGAATCCGGGGTCGACTGTAGGTGCGTGAAAAGAGGGGGAGCCCCCCCCAACAAAAAACACAAATGTGATTCCTCTACTCTACATCAACCTCGAAAGGGAACCCACCACCCCCTGGGGGGATGCTCCGCCTACTTAATATAGGTCATAAATAAATAGGGTCGATCAGTTTCAGAGCACCAACCCATTTCCCACTCATAGCCATCGTTGCCTACCGAGGTTGAAGATTCAAGCCCCTGCCATGTCCGGTTTTGTCAGCAACATGGTTGTTGAACCCCCCTCCCCCCCCGCAACAAAACAGAAGAAGCAAAGACAAGGAGGAGACGTTGAATCTGACCCCGCGCCGTTTTGCGTTTGGCACTGCAACGCTCGTCCTGTCCCACGCTGGCCACACGTGCCGAACTTGACGCTTTTTCCCAAGCTGTTTCTCTATTGGCAGAGCCATTAAGTACGTCGCATGAAGTCGACGCTCAAAGGGGGAAAGCAAGTGACAAAGTTCGAGGGGTTCCCAAAAAAGCGGTTTCCTGGGGTCCAGGTTGCGTGGACGAAGTGGGCTCAAAACTTGGCACGGACCAAGGCACCAACCCACATGCAGGCTGGTTGACCCCTGTGCTGGGCATCACACACGCAATCCCAAAGGCGGCTACTCCACCCATCCCCTACACAGAAGCAAAAGAAGTGGATCCCTGCTGACTGGCGACCGATCGTGGTGTGTGTGGCTTTGTCACGGTGCCCCCCAAAACAGAAGAAACCCCTAACAATGACGTAACAAAACAGAGAAACTTCATGTAAAAGCAACGTGGCCCCGCTTCAAACCCACTAAAAAAACAGTCACCCACACGTCGCGTCTTGTTCTCTAGGCCTTCGACACCAGGGTAGCTTCCGGCGGAGCGTTGCGCCGGCGCCTGGTGTCGTTGGTTGTGCGCCGCGGCGAGAAAGCGCGGGTCCTGGCGGCGCTGGCGAAGCGAAATGCGCAGGCGACGGGGAAGCTCGCAGCCGACGGGGCAGCGGTTGATTCTTGTTGGCAGCGATTGGTAGTTTTTGTCATGCGCTGAAGATGTGTGTCTTTCTTTTCCATGTGCTGCAGAATAGCTCGTTGAAACAACTTCCGGCTGGTTTCAAAGGGAAGTTATCACTGGTTTCCTCGAATTTGCCATAGTTTGTCTAAATGGCGCATAGTTTTGCCAACATAGGGTCTTCAGAAAAGCACAGCCCCGCTTTTTGGACAGAACACATCATCCCATATTGGTGCCTTTATTGAGAAGTGCGATTCCAGGTTTCTCTATTTAACACCCATGCGGGGTTTGGCCCATGGTTGGAAATTGGGTTTTAGGTTGCCATTTTCTGTGATACCAAGGGGAACTCCTTTGACGCACTCCCTGAATTCACCCACTCAGGAAGAGAGAATGTGAACCCTGGAGTAGATCGGGGGGTGGGGGTGGGGGCCTCTCCAAAAGTGGTCTGAGCCCCCATCTCTCAAATCAACCAGGGGTTTGTTGATCCGTTCCCAAAAAGTGGGTGACAATTCCGTGTGCATTTGAAACAGGAGGGATGTCCAGTTTTTGATTGTGGGGGAAGCAGTGGCAGACAGCTCGGAGCAACCCTGGGTCCAATTTGTTCCGTGACCCAAGAGGAGGGATTGTTGGTGGGAGGCTACCCTCCCTCCCATGGAACCCACCAGACCGTGTCAAAAGGAGAATTGACTTCCAGGCCCCAGCCAGTTTCTATTTGTGTCAAACAACGTTGGAGACGTCCCAATTCGTGGTTTCCTTGTGGCTTCCATATTAAATCACCCCCTACGAGGGCTCTTGGCGGCACAAACTACAACACACGCGAGGAAATGACCTCATGTCATTTTGGGGACAACGTCCCAGCTATATGCGTAGTTTGACTCCGCACCGGAGATTTGTGAGCAATATCGTCGCGAGGTGATCGAGGATCTTCAGGCCTTTGCTCGAGTGCAGCTCGGGAGAAATGGGGTGTCTTTGCGGCTGTCTTTGGGAAGGGGTCTGGGAGGGAAGTCTTCAGGGAGATGTCTTTTGGGGGTGTCTCTGGGGTTGTCTTTTCGGTTGTCTTGGGTGATGTATTTGGGGATGCCTTTGAGGACGTGTTTGTTGCCAGTGGGGGTGTCGCTGGCGGCATCTGTGGGTTCTTCGTTTGAGGATCGTCATTGCGGGCATATCTCGCAAAATGTCTTGGGGGCTTTCTCAGAAAATGTCGCTGAGGGATTTCTCTGGTGGATTGTCTTTGGAGGAGGTCGTTGAGTTGTGTCTTTAAGGGTGGCTTTTGGGGATGTCTTTGGAGATTCGTCTTTGGAGCATGTCTTTGAACATAGCTTCTGGGGATGTCTTCCGCTGTGTTGTTTGGGGAATGTGTTAAAGATGTTTGGGGCTGACTTTGGGGTTGTGTTGGGGCGCTTGCGCGGATGTCTTTGGAAATGCTGTGTTCGTGAGGGTATGTTTGGGGACGGTTTTGTGCATGCGCTGAAGGCTGTTTTGTTGTGGTTTGCTTTTAGTTAGGCTGTCTCTCTCGTGATGTCATTGGGGATGTCTTTAAAACTGCTTGTGGGGTTGCGCTTGTTTGCATTCGGGTTCGTGGCCTCTATCAGGTTTTAGGGGACCCCACATATGGTGGGCTTCCTCTTGGTTTCTATTTGAAGCCAATTAAAGGGGGCATCTTCATAAAAGACAGGCCGCCCATTTAGATCATGACTTCAACGCGTCCCCAGAACAAAGCCAAGGGAAGCAGAAAGGGTCGTGTGGAGTTGAACAAGTTGGTCCACTTGAAAAGGGCAACCATTGCTGCTTTTAAGTCTTCCGGGTCCGTCTTGCGTGATCTGAGGCAGCCAAAGTGGCCTAGCTGAGCGCTCGAAGCAGGAAAACGTGTTTCTGCGCGGGTGGGGAACAGCAATAACATCATTCAGAGCCAAAGAAGAGCAATAGCAGAGCCACTGCAGTCGAACAGGGTGACTACCAGTGGCATTTTATGATGCCTGTCTATGTTTGCCAAACTTACTTGAAACCAAAAAGCAACAATTTGAAGATACGTCCCATGCTGCGTTTGCTTCTTTTTGTGCCCGGGTCGACCTCAAAAGAGCCCTACACACATACAATTCGGAGGCCATGGAGGACATGTTTCTGTTTCTTCCAAATGGGAATCACACCATTCCGCAGAACCGGTCCGAGTCTCCTTTTGGCTTCCCCGCGTTTATTCCTTCAGAAGAAGCAGGTTGTTTCGTTGAAATACGAAGCATTGCCTGTTCGGCCGCTAAGGTTGGGGGTCAAGCTGCTGTTTTGTCGTGCAAGACTTCGATGAAATTCGGGGCCCTCAAATAGCCAGGTTGTGAGACCCCAACCTCTAGGTGTCCAATGGAAGGGTCTGGGTCTGAAAATTGAAAGGCCATGAGTGCCATGAGCCTTGGGTCTTGCAAGTCAGTCCTTCCGGAGAAAAGCGTCATCTCACCAGTAAACATTGCCCAACACTAGACAAATGCACTCAGCAAGGCCCAGGAAGGCACGGGTGAATAAGGAATTCCAGGAATGCTAACGCTGCATTCATAAACTATTTATTGACATGGGGTGTCCCTGGTTTTAGTGCGGGTACATCACCTTTGGAGGGGAGAGCACCCTCACATTGAACAGGGGTTCAACAAACGGCATTGTCCAAGGCACCGTTTCTCCAGTTCGGAAAGGTACACCAAGGCTAGGTCCCAAAAGCGGGGAACTTCGAAGTAGAACGTATCCTACTGGTGTGAAGGGCCCCACGCGACGAAAGTGATATCCAGAGTCCCACCTTGTGGGGCACCCCCCGATCATAAAGAAGCCAGCTCTGCAACACTCCGGGGTAAACATTTCTTACACACGGACACCAGCAGTCTCAAGTCTGTACCGGATGTGAGGGGTCACTCTCCAAGAAAATGGTGGCTTCTTTGTCTGGAGCTTCGGTCAAAAATACGTGTCTATGGTCCAATTTGCAATTTAGGGACCAGAGGGGGGGTGGGGACGAGCTCCAAGTTTCTGCCGAAAACCAGGCAAGCCCTCATGTCCCGTGTCCTGTAGGACAAGTACTTGTGACCATGGCTTTGGCCTAAAGGTGCGGCAGGTTTTCAAATATCCAGGGTGCCCCGTTTGCGACGAGTCCGCAGCTTTCATCCAACCCCGGCGCGACGTCCGGAGAAGGGTGGCCATGGCACGGCGGAAGGCCGAGCGCGTTGTCGGATGTTCAGCTGACAAGGAAGCCGTTTTAGGAAACGGATCCCTATTTTGACGAACCACTTAAAAAGGAATCAGTTCTTGTTGGTCGTTGAGTCCTTGATCTGAAAGAGGCCCCCAAAAGGCCCAATGGTAGCAGCGCCCAACGCCCTTGGACTTTGGATCTACGTGGTGATAAAGGTGTATATATATATATATAAGCCTGTGCCAAGAGGTTGTACGCAGGGTTCTTTCACGATATTATAGTGCGCGAGTGGCAATTTGACAAGTGCGCGAGTGTACGAGTGGACTGTGCGAGTGTGCGAGTGGAACGGGCCAGTGCCCGTACGAGTGGACGAGTGGACGAGCGACTCGAACACTCACGCGCCCTACTCGCATACCCTACGCGCGCACTTTTCACTCGTACATACCAACTGAAAGGGGTAAATACCGACTGAAAGGGTCCATAATTATAATGTTGAGCAGCTTCCTAGTCGGAACCGCACTCGTGGTCTTTTGATCTGGGGGCTTCGACAGACATTACTTAGTGAAGCGGAGGGTTTCAGTTGTCTAAACGTTTGCGAGAAATCACGTCTCAGGATCGACATCAGGTGTCATTTAGTACTTGTAGGTGTCTTAGCTCTTTGCCTCTTTGGTCCTGTTTGCAATTTGGTGGCAAGGGACAAAGTGTGTAATTTGCCTCACTAGCGAAAGTGAAGGTTGAAGCGGAAGCGCAAGTGACACGGGTGCCACCTATGCGGCTAGCGCCTACTGACGTCCATTTTTGCAAATTGCCTGGAATCACCATAGGCTGACTCCTTAGAATTTCATCCCAGCTAGTTTGACATGAACACCCATAGATTCTACAATTGATTGGGAACACACACCCACACACTCTGGCTTTTCCACAAGCTCGTAGCAAGTTCAACTTGTTTGAACCGGCTTCTTGAGACCAAGGCGTCAACCATCAACCCTGCTTTCCGATCATTCGAATCTCGGGTTTCGCTTTCGAAAACAAAGGGACGTCCTCCAGCGGGGCTCTACACACATAGCGTGTGTCTTGTTTGCCTTTCAAGCACAAATCAGGCCAAAGGGTAAACTCGGATTCCAACCTCCTTCCAACTTGCCATCCAAATGACACCTGGGGTTATTGAGTGCTCATTCTGGGAAACCCAGAAGAGTTTATGGCGGGAGAGGGGAAGTGGATGGAAATGGGTTTGCCTCGAAATTCGGGAACCCCAAACACGGTGTTGTCCCCGCAGCCAACCAACCAATAGGGGGTTCCAAAACCACATGACACACCCAAGTATGTCAGAAGAAATCCGTACCATGGGAACTCCGGCCCCTGCCACCATAGTTTTACTACTTATGCGAAAGAGGGGGCCCTGATGGAAGGCCCTGCTTAAAACTGCAGCAAACGATAGGGGACTCACAAAGAAGCAATACACATGGAAGCACTTGCGGTTTGAACATGTTCCTGCTTTGTGTTTATGTGCGGGGTTGGACACAATTATTTAGCAAAGACACGCGTGTCTATTGGAACAAGATAGGGCTCCAACAGTTATAGTTATGTCATTTGCAAAGGCACTTGTTTTAGACAGGTCACTTTTACGTTGGGGACAGGGGCATGCCTGGTGGAGTGACTCCCGCCAAAGCCAAGCCTTAGTCCTCATGCCCGATAGCAGTGGTTACCCCTGTTGTTGGTTGTTGGTGTACGATGAATTACCATCTTGAACAAGTGGACAGTCCTTGGAAAGTGCTGGTTACAGTAATTTCCCACTGAACCATATGGGCATGGGTCAAATTTAGACCACCAGGGGACCCCGGGTTTTAGTCCTTGCTTCTCAAATTTACCGGGGGCTGCCCATGTGGGGTACTTCTTTTTGACCACAGCCATATTGCACGTCGGATTGGCCGCCAAAAACAAGCGGGGGAATTTTCAGGCACTGCCACTGGCGCTGGCGCTGGCTTGGGTAGCTTGGGGCCTGGAGGAAGTCGAGCCCGCAGGCTTGATCCTCACTTCCTTGGTGGACTTTAAGTCACTTTGCTTCCATTTGGTTCTTTTGATTCTTTTGGTTTTGAAAAGGGAATCTATCTACAGGACATGTTTTTTTTTTGGTTGTGGGCTGCAGCAAATGGAAGTTTTTGGGTTTGGACCAATTCAGTGGCAAGCCGCAAGTATGGGAGCTTGTTTTCTGGCCAATCCACTCAAGGAGTGAGTCCAGAGTCCCACGTCCAGGCTCCCAAGCTTTCAGGGCTTCACCAGAACCATTTGTCGCGCTCTGATTTCATCTTTTTCTTCACAGGCACTGCGGCTTCAAGGGCTAGGAAAACGCAGGGGGCAGAGGTAGATCTTAGGAGAAGCAGGAACTCTGGATGCTCACCCCTTCACGGAAAGCAGCATCATATCAATCAGGTCTCGCATATGTTTGTTGGCAACTCCTCGGAGGCTGACGTCTATATACACTTACTTGCTTAGTTTGTTCAACCTCAAACTGCTTGTTGCTATCTTCATGACTCCTTTTTATTGAATTGAGTGCCTGCCTCCTTCTCCATCAAACAGTTTGGCAGGAAATCAAATTCAAGTTACCTGGACGAACAGATGATGGGTTCTTCAGCTTCTAAACTGTAATATAGGTATTTGAGGAAGCATGAATCGCCGCAGTAATCTTCTTGGATTCCCCTTTAGTTGGAGATGACAAGAGTTGCTCATTGGCAGGGAGTGCTCTGACTGGCCAGCAGAACTCCAAAGTTGACAGTGCCCATGTGGGTTTGTCTTAAAATAGGAGACCAAAAAAAAGGCAAGTTTCCTTTGGTTTCCCTTGAACACCCCACCAAAAAGGGTTCCTTCAAAAAGACAAACACACCCATGTCTTTCAAACCTGCCTTTTCGGTCAGCATCCCTGGAGTTGTCTAGGGTTTCTAGCCGCGTCAAAAGCTCGGGTCAGATTTTCATTCTGCATCATTCGGGGCAAATCACGAGCTCTGCGACAAAACATGGCTAGGGAGCTTCCGCTTCCCTCTCCAACATCTGACAAAGCGAGCTTCCAGTTGCTCAAGAACATGTTTTGTTTCCACTGGTTTTGAAATTCATCTATCGCTGCTGGCCCCGCTGGATGTGTGTTTTTCAGGGGACTTATGCAAATGGAAGCAAGCAAGCGGGTTGGAGATATTTCCCTGGCTTTTACGCACCACCGAACAATGAAGCAGGTTTCCCTTGGTTGGTGGTTTGGATTGGTGGTTTGGATTTGGATTTGAACCCCTGGTTCTTGCAGAAGGACATGGGAAACCCCTCCTTAGCCACCAAACCACCAATCCAAACCACCAATTAGCAGGAAACTGAACGAACGCCCATTTTCATGGTGTCTGGTTTTTATGCAGTTTGGCTTCCTTTTGCTTTCTCATGCAAGCTACCCCCCAGCCCCCCAAAAGTAACAGAAGAACAGACAAAGCATACTCCACCCCACAACGATTGTCGCGATCCGCGCGCCTGCGGCCTGCGGTCCTTCTCTTTGTGTGAGTCGACTTCCTGAGATATCTACACGCACAAACAACCCCAGTGGGAAGCACGGCTCTTCAGCACCACTCTAGTGGTGACGCTGTCCATTTGCGCGTGTCTTTTCGCAGACCTTTACAAATTGGCTTTGGTTTTCTTTTTACTTTCCCCTTTAAAACCACAAACAACATATACCCTCAAGAAATCACCCCCCCCAATGTCACGGGCCGATGGGAGCTCCACGGCCTTCGCCGTCTCTCCGTCCGGCAGATTTTGTGAGTGGCTCAGAACGTGGCAGAAGGACCACCAGCCACTGGAGATGTCCGGCCTTCCCCCAGGCCGGAGGTGACGGCCAGGATCCAGGTGCTCACTCGAAAGCAAAACTTGCCCCTTTGGACCTTTTAAGATTTCCCTCTGTTTCTTGTTTGGTCTATTTTGTTGGGTCATGGTCTTCTTCTTCTTTTCGTGAGAAAGCTGTCGGAAGGATGGGACTCCAGGTTTGGTATCACGCAATCTGACCCCTACTTCCCAGAATCTTGTTTCCGGGCAGGTACTAGAGGCCGAAGGCCCAACAGTGTGTGGGAAGGTTTAATATGGTTCAAACACTGATAGGTGTTTCTCCAAATGGTGGGGGGATTCGCATGGTGCGTTCCCCTTAGTTTCCCTTGACACCTCCAAAACGGATACGAACCCACGACGCATGTCTTCTGTCAAGGGCTTTCTCTTTAATCACTGCTCACGTACCAACTGCACATGTTCCAACTCAAACAAAGACCCCACCCTGTCTTGACCCCAGCACCAAGCGGGCAGACAAAAGCATCAGCTTCTGCGCGGAAGAAGCGTCAGGATGGGCTGAGCACATCGATCCCAATTCCGGCAATCCGCTGCTTGAAGCACTGGGGGGCAATGCCGGCCAGGAATCCTCTCCCTGTGGCCTCCAGAATCAGTTTTGTGTATGTTATCTCGGTGGCTCCCAGCCATCCCATTAGTTTTTTAGCTTTTAGGGTTTGGTGGGGTTTCCATTTAATGCACTAAAAGTTAGTCACTTATAGCAGGGGATCTTAGGACAGCCCAGGGATTTTTAGAGTAATGTGAACCCCCGATAAATAAGCCCCACAGTTCTCAATCAGAAAGGAATCCCCATTGGGGGGGGTATTGTTCAGGTGTCGGCAGCAGAATAAATATGAAGCAGAAACCAACCTTGCAGGTGACGTATGGAATGGGGGAGAACCACAGCCACGGCGAAAAACAACACAAACTGCAAGCAACAACCCATGAGAAATGTATCCGGAATCCTCTAGTAAAGCACCTTCATCATGTGAGCTCGTTTGTATCCCAGACTATGTGCTTTCATCGCCCCCCAAGAAACACTGCTCCATGTTCCTTTGGGCACAATTGGGATATGGGATGATGAATAGGCCCCTGGTCTATGAATGTTGTGGGGGTGTCCCATTTTATAGCGGATTCTTCACTTTGGAAAGCGTCAGATGATTGTCGATATGTGTCCCATGGAGAGATCCTCTACTTTCACCAATATGCCAAAACAATTCCAGCGGCCCACATGTAGCAGCACCTTTGCAAAATTCCTGTTGGCGAAGTCAAAGGTCTGCCTCGGGGTAGAGGTGTAACATGTGAGTCATATTATATAACCATCTTGGTAAAATAAAATAAAATAAAGAACATATTTACTGGGGTCTGAGGCTGCTCAAACGGGTTTTCGTTTTCATGTGGCTTTCCCTCAAGCTCTATTCGCAAAAATCCCCTCTATGCAAAGCATGTCTTTTTGGTCGACCTGCTGTTTCAACTAAGTGGCCATTCCCAACGATCAGTTGCACCAGCCCCGTTTCTACTTTTACCCAGACCTCCGGTGTTGCCTTATTTTTTCTCCTGCTTTTAGGAGGGGGTTCCCTTTAGAAACAACTATCAATAGTGCACCCTTTTTCCCATGGCCATCCACTGGCTGGGGTAATGTTTTGAGCTCTTTGACTTGAAGATAGAGCTCTGTCCGTGTTTGTTGGTCCAAAGTCGAGCTTCCATCTCAGAAACAGTGTCGTTCTACTTCCAAGGGCATGTTCAGGAAGTTCTGGAGGTAGGCTATACAATAATTGAATAAGGGGTGTGCGCAGCCTTGACACGTGCCATGATCGAAACACCTAGCTTAGGGGGTAGACAACCCTTGGACGTGTCTCTATTTAGTGAGCATGACACCACGGCCCAACGTGTAGGAGTTTAGACCATGGCGTACGTGACCAGACACATTGAGTGGTATATGGCCTTGAACTGCTTCTGAACCATTGACTCTTAGAGCCCATATAAGCCATGGTCAAAGCACCTGGCTTGCCTGGGGTTGCTGGGATGGTCATGGACCAAGCAAGAAAAGCCATGCTGGCGGTATCCCCGAAAGCAAGCCCCTTTGAGCACCCTTCCGGAGCCCCAACAGCCGGAGCCGCTCGGGGGGCAGTTGGGGTCATGGGTGAAACACTTTGAATCAAGCTCGGATGACTTGCCTGGAGCTTTTGATGGAATTTACACCTGCCGTGATACATGCTTGCTTCGGGTTAAGATTTCTTACAAAAGGGGGGGAGGGGGGCGACCCAAGTGAGCAACAGTCAGTGCTTAGTCCCTGTTTTCTATGGTAGCCTTAAAAGGTGTTGGTCTTATTCAGGTTTCTGGAACAGGGGGAAAGTGTTGGCTGTGTGGGAGTGGCCATAAAAACATGGAATTCTCATTCGTTATTAGTTGGTTTTTGTCTAAGCACCACAAGGGGTCCCCAAATGAGGACTTTGTTCCCTCAAAATGGGGTTGCAATCTCGCTCTTCCCGAGCCAAGGTACTACCACAATACCGCCACCAATGAGGCCGGTTATGTTCCCGCGGGCTTGGTGAGGATGAGCTGGGGAAGTTTAATAGTGATGCCCGCCATTGTCTTCCTTTTGTCCTGTGCTGTGTGTAGCTTGCTTGCTTGCTTGCTTGCTTTGCTTGCTTGCTTGCTTGCTTGCTTGCTTGCTTGCTTGCTTGCTTGCTTGCTTGCTTGCTTGCTTGCTTGCTTGCTTGCTTGCTTGCTTGCTTGCTTGCTTGCTTGCTTGCTTGCTTGCTTGCTTGCTTGCTTGCTTGCTTGCTTGCTTGCTTGCTTGCTTGCTTGCTTGCTTGCTTGCTTGCTTGCTTGCTTGCTTGCTTGCTTGCTTGCTTGCTTGCTTGCTTGCTTGCTTGCTTGCTTGCTTGCTTGCTTGCTTGCTTGCTTGCTTGCTTGCTTGCTTGCTTGCTTGCTTGCTTGCTTGCTTGCTTGCTTGCTTGCTTGCTTGCTTGCTTGCTTGCTTGCTTGCTTGCTTGCTTGCTTGCTTGCTTGCTTGCTTGCTTGCTTGCTTGCTTGCTTGCTTGCTTGCTTGCTTGCTTGCTTGCTTGGCTGGCTGGCTTGCTTGCTGGCTGGCTGCCTGCTGGCTTGCTGGCTGGCTGGCTGGCTGGCTGGCTTGCTGGCTTGCTTGCTTGCTGGCTGGCTGGTTTGCTGGCTTGCTTGCTTGCTTGCTTGTTTGTTTGTTTGTTTGTTTGTTTGTTTGTTTGTTGTCTTTTGGCTTGGTTGGTTGGTTGGTTGGTTGGTTGGTTGGTTGGTTGGTTGGTTGGTTGGTTGGTTGGTTGGTTGGTTGGTTGGTTGGTTGGTTTCGGTGTGTTGTTTGTGTTGTGTCATTTCTTTCATTTTCCCATCTGTTGCTTCGTGTGAAGGACGATGGGCAGGTGTAGCTCCGTACGCTTGGGATCTCTGAGCAGGTTTCACCATGCGCATTTTGGGTCCCATGGCATGTGCTCGGATGTGCAAAGCCAAGCTTCCAACTCATTCTCAAAGTGCTTCAGATGTCCAAAGTCTAGGGTAAAAGTAGATGGCCCAATTCATTTCTCTGGCTAAACCAACCCGGGGGAATTGCGCCAGCTACTTTCGCGACGGCTGCCATGTTTTTTTTCGGGGGCATATGAACCTTACTGCGCTTGCTTGCGATAGGTCACGTGGACGAGGCCGACGGACGGGTGCCGGCCTTGGAGCCGTTGTGCCAAAGGAAAGTGGGTAGATTAATACAGTATTTTCAGTATTTTTCTACAGTATTCTCATGTTGGTATTTTCCTATAAATACTGAGAAACACATGTACAGGGATGAATATATTTAGATAGGTATTTTCAGTATTTATACCTTATGTGTTTCTCATGGTGGACGCCGCCCAGCTTTCTCTCTTCCTTTCTCTCTTCGACTCGTACAACCACTGCAGTAACAATTCAAAGTTGTCGCACTCTTTTTGGTGGGTTAAAGGGAAATGAACAGGAAACCAACCATTTTAGGGTACCCCTATTAAAACATTCATATGGCTGGCGGCCTCATCTGGCGGTTTCCTTTTTGTGCTCCTTCTCGGGACAACACGTTTTTCCATCATTTCGGACGAATCCATGAGGGCCGTTCTCGCGAAAGCTCGGCGAAGGAGCGCTGTGAGACTCACCCAAAGCTCGATGAATTTTCAGCACCGCTTGCATGCGTTTATTGATCACCATTTGCTATGGACCCCTTTGCCATTTGCAAGGAGCTTAACATATGTGTAAACAGCGGACACGTAGGTTAGTTTTTGCACAACCCAAAAGGTGTTTTCTCAAGGTAAGATTCCTCTACAATGTACACTTGCTTATTAGTGAATATACATCTGATTTTATCGGGGTGCATGTGCGGGATTGTTCAGCTTTCCACTCCTTGGTGGTTTGGATTGGCGGCTTGGGAGTTTGAACCCTGGTTCTTGTAGAGGGTACATGTGAAACCCTCCTTTTCCACCAAACCGGACTCTGAAATATTCGCCCGCAAGATTCTTATGCCAACTCATAGCGATTTTTCTCACTTCGGATCCCCTCTCGAAGCCGGTTCAAGACATTTTTGTGGGTATCTGTCAAATAGGGGGACCCCCCAAAATCGGAGGTGTTCCTGGTTCCCTGTTCAACCAACCTAAGAAGAGCACAAGGGTGCCTGGACCCTTGGACCCTCTTGGGAGTTGTTTACTGGGTGTGTCTTTTTCGAGGCTACCCTATTTTTTTGTGGTTTGTTCGGGAAACCAAAAGGACAACCACCCATTTCGTGGGTTCCCCCGCCCCAAAACCAAGAAGCCATGCCCACAAGGAATCAAAAGGAAGCCGCACCAATTTGGGGGTCTCCACTTGGTGGCTCCCATCCCCTTAGCTTTGTAGCTTTTTAGTGTTTAGTGGGGTTTTCCATTTAGCCCACTAACAGTTATTCACTTTTAGCGGGGGATCTGAGGACAGCTCAGTCCAGCTTTGTTTGACACCCAAATGGCACCTGACCGCACCCCCCCAAAAAAATCCGCGCTGCCGGTTTTGTTTGACACCTCAGGGGCGGCGGCGGCAGGGGCACCCAGCGGAAACGCATCATAAACACAGAGCTGTATATGGCTGTGGTCAAAACCGTTGTGGTTGATCCCATTTTGGTTGGGATTGGTGAATTCACCACCCATTTTAGTTTACCTATTTTAGTGGTTGGATTGGGATGTTCACTGGGGGTACGGGGTTTTGACCCATGGCCATATATATATATATACACATACATATATACGTATATACATAGAGGTGTGGGTCCTTTTTGTAGGAATCGGCACCCAAGAATGGCTTCGCTTGTACAGACCCATACGGGGGTCTTGTTTGAGGGTACCGTGTGTTTTGGTGCTTTTTAAAGGAAACCAACCCAAACATATTAAGGGCACCCTCCTGTCCACTACTATGGAACCCACCAGAGCGTGCCTTGTAAAGGAAACACAAGTCTTCGACTCCTCAGTCACAGGTTCCAATGCTGGATGTCCACAAGAAGTCACTAGATTGTGAATTGTCCTTTTGGTTTCCCTTTAAAAAATTGAAAAGATGGTGCCTCAAAGACACACCAATGTATGTTAAATACAATTCCGGGGATTGGTTGTTTTGTACTTTTCAAGACACTCGGTAATGACTTCGGACCCCTGCAGATCAGTGGAGGCAAATCTTGTCTCGGCGTCACGTTTCGGGGGGTTGCGATGTCACGGAAAAAGGTTCTGATTGCGGTATTTTTTTTTGGGGGGGGCGTTGCCCTTACCCCCTCCCCCCAACTCTAAAAAAAAAACGGACGAGGTTGACCGAAAGGAAAAGGACGTCCCTATTTTCGGTTGGTGAAGTTTCATGACTTGCCCAGATGCACACTTGAATATTGTTCTTTGCTTCGGAATGTTCAATACTAACTCCTGATCAATGACCAGCCTTTCCCAATCCGGGGGCTTCCTGCGAAATTGAAGCGGATGCCTTCCTCGTTCTCACGGGAGCTCCCTGCTTAATCAGACCTCGACATTGCTGCAAACTAATCCGGAACATTGTTCAGCACATATATTTGCCTCCCATTTTTATGTGGAGGTAGTCTTTTTACATCGAAGCTGGAGTTCACGGCAATGCTTTTCATGATTGGCAAGTAGTGGATGTCAGAGTCTGCGTGTAATCACGTTTAGTTTTGGCTTTAGGATCTATTTCGCGGTTACGAAAATTGGAATCGAGCTGTGGGCGCTTGAAAGCAGGACGGAATCACGATTCCAAGAGAACTGTGCTTGTCACTCCCTGAGTTCCTGGCCAACCAAACTCATTATTTTCCTGCCGGTTTCCCTTTAAAACCACAAGCAAATGGTACCCTCATAAAAGATAGACCCTTGACATTTGGCCTCTTCACATTTAGCCCCCTTGACATTTGGCCTCCTGATATTTGTATCATGAGAATCCCGAACCCGTTTCCACTTCACCCGAATTCGGAGATTCCGGCGCCCAAACCTCAAGTGTATGCATGGTTCCCCCCCAAAAATGGGACTCCTGAAAGGATGGTTCAACCTAAGTATGTAACAGCTGGGTTAGTGGTTGCTTTACTTGGTGTTGATTCGTTTTGTTTTGCTGTGGACCCATGCTTAGTAGATAATCTCCCCACAGCTTGCTTTTTCCAGTCTGGAACGCTATGCAATAATCCATACAAAAACTCATGTGCAACTAGGTGTTGGGGATGGGGGGATGGCTTATATAATATAGCCGTACTACCGTGCCATCGCACACATGTATGCATGTATGCATATATATATATATATACATATCTATATATATATATATAGATATGCTTGTATTAGATTATGCGTATATATATATATATATCGATATGTATTGCATAGTCGCCCGGGTCCTGGCACTTTCCACGTTTTGTTTAGAACCGGCCGTGGTTCGGGGGTGATAGGTGACAAGTGACGAGTGGCCAAGGACAAAGAACACATGGCTTTGCTTGAAGTTGTCTGCGAAGCCAAAGGTGCACAGATGTTTGGTAAAAAAGGCAAGTTGGTTCAAGCAGCTTGTTTCTTCTGAGAAATAAGGAAAGATCAGTATGGGATGACCTTTTGACCAGTTTCTGCTTCAAATCTATGAGGTAAACCTTCCGAAAAGGGCAATTGCTTCAGGTTCCATACCAGCTCTCTTGCTCCAAGCAATTCCAAGCTCGTCTTCAATCTGCCCCCATGAAGATCTGGCGTTCCAAGTCACATATGGCGCTTCAACTCCAGCCTCCATCCGCCAGTCAATGAATGTAGCATCCTCCCATGAACATGCTAATGATTTTGTTCGCTGCAGTCCCATGGTTGTTCTCTCTCTTTCTCTATCAACAACTCGCAACGTCGCAAGCTAGTCATCACCATCCGCCCCCTTTTCCCTTGCAGCCTCAGCTTTCTACGGCTTGGGACAATTGGTTGTAGGCGCCGGGTGCGCTTGTTGGCCTCCCTGTTCTCTCCGATCTTTTGAGAGAGGGTAAGACGCCTACAGTTGCGTATTTGCTTGCCTTCATGAGCGTGAAAGACCGTTTATTGCTTAACTTCGAATGCTCATTCATTTTCACTGGGCTCTGCATGAACAAACTGTTGTTCGCTCACGTACCAGGGTTGGGAGGTCTTTGATAAGAAAGGCCAGCTGTTTCTCACTTCTTTCAGGACGGAACCCTTGGCGGCGAAAGGACTCAGGGAACTATCGTTGGCAAGAGGCAAGTTCTCTGGCAATTCTAAGTGTTTGTGTGTGAACGGTGTTTATCTTGTTATTTACAAACATCAAGTTGCAAGAGCAATATGTTGTGTCGATGCACAAATGAAATCAAGGTACCAACATAGAGCCTTGATTGGCAGCCCGGCTATGAGCAACTGGTCACTGGTGAAATGATCAGTCTGCTGTTGAGCAGACACAGGCTCACCCAAAGTCTCCGGAAAAAGACACAAGCTATGACTTTCATGTAACTGAACCCTCCCCAAAATGGTTGGTGGACATAGGTTTGTGTGTCTCAAAATTCGGGAGGTTCCTTTTGGCTTCCCTTTACGCCCACCCAAAAAAGAGTTCCCTCCCAAAGCACGACACACCCAAATACCCGTCTAAATGGTGTCCACCAGAGGGTCCCGAATGGGAATTCACAGCCGAGTTTAGGAGATGCATTCGCCCCCCGCCCCCCAAAGAAAGAAAAGCCAGGTTCTCAACCTTAAGAACACCAAATGTTGGGATCTATTCCCCTGCAAATTGGCATGGAACCCAAAATGGGTTCCCCCCAAAAGGAGTGTCCTCTACACATTGTGGTTTGGGCTTCACTTAATCTGTAGGAGAGTAGGCATTCTTTCGTTTTCTCCCTTTCGAGTGCCATGTCTTTTTTTGTTCAGAAAATGGGCCCTCGAACTCCAAAGGCTGTCAAATCGCTTGAGGTATGGGCGGAATGGGCGGTGGACCTGGCAGTTTGGAGGGAATCGCCCGTGGGTTTTTTGACTTGGCTGTGGGCCAAAACCAATGGTACCATTTTGGGGTAGGTACACCACCCATTTTAGTCTATTTTAGTGGGGATTGGGATGTTCACTGGGGGTACGGGCTTTTGACCCATGGCCACTTGTCTGGAAAGATAAAGCTTTGAAAGGGTTCGGTAGCTGAGACAAAATGGAAGGAAGAACCACAACCATGGAAGCAACAAGGGTTGTTATTCGAGATTCCCTCTCACTTCTTTGGCTGATCGCCCAACAGATAAACGAGATGCATATCCAGGCAAGCCATGGGTTTCGGCCATTTCCGCGATGCCATCCTAAGATACTCGGGTTCCGACCTTGTCTGGACCTTGTCTGCAAAGGCTGACCTCGGAGCCAGCGCCAGGGATGTGTTTGAACTGTGTCCAAATGACTGACATGGTCGTGGGTCAGCACCAATGGTACCATTTTGGGGTAGGTACACCACCCATTTTAGTCTATTTTAGTGGGGATTGGGATGTTCACTTGGGGGTACGGGCTTTTGACCCATGGCCACTTGTCTGGAAAGATAAAGCTTTGAAAGGGTTCGGTAGCTGAGACAAAATGGAAGGAAGAACCACAACCATGGAAGCAACAAGGGTTGTTATTCGAGATTCCCTCTCACTTCTTTGGCTACTCGGGTTCCGACCTTGTCTGGACCTTGTCTGCAAAGGCTGACCTCGGAGCCAGCGCCAGGGATGTGTTTGAACTGTGTCCAAATGACTGACATGGCCGTGGGTCAGCACCAATGGTACCATTTTGGGGTAGGTGCCCCACCCAATTTAGTTGTTTTTAGTGGGGATTGGGATGTTCACTTGGGGGTACGGGGTTTTGACCCTGTGACATTTATTTTCTTTGGTGAACACTTGGTTCTCCGTCTGGAAGTCCTTCTAGCTACCGTCCGCGGATGAGGCCTCCTTTCGCACACGGAGTTGAGTCTCTTTCGGTGCTTGCCCCCAATGTGCCAGGTCAGCCTCAGATGGGCATGGGAGGGCAAATGGGCATGGGTCAGCCTATGCAACAGTCCATGGGGGGCGGCATGGGCGGCGGCATGGATGGTGGCATGAGCGGCGGCGGCATGGGCGGCGGCATGGGAGGCATGGGAGGTGGCATGGGTGGCATGGGCGGCGGTATGGGCGGTATGGGAGGTGGCATGGGCGGTGGCATGGGCGGCATGGGCGGAGGAATGGGTGGAATGGGTGGAATGGGTGGCGGCATGGGTGGCGGTATGGGTGGCATGGGAGGTGGCATGGGCGGTGGCATGGGTGGCGGAATGGGCATGGGCATGGACGGCGGCATGAATCTTAGCTGCGAATCGGCGTGCTTGCAAGACCTTGTCTTGGCCCACCCACATTATTTTGTTGAGATTCCTCTTTTGCAGTTTTGGCCAGATGTCTGACTGTGCTTAGTATGAGACCTGTCAATCCGCTTATGGGAGCAGTAACTGCTAATTGAGACCATTGGTGACAATCCAGGGCCATCGCGGACCAAGTGCCACCCAGCTGCGTTGACACTGCGAGTCATCTGCGCCCAAATACTCTGAGACCCCATAAGCCGTATTTTGTTTTCACATGTTTGTTTGGAAACTGATGGTCTTGGTACCATCCGACTTCGTCGTCGACCTCGAATTCAAAGTGCTGCCATTCATGTTGTGGAAACTGGGGCTTGGGGCATTATTTTCTGTGATACCACCTCTGCGATGATTTTTCACTTAATGGCCCATGTTGGCGACTCACAGAACGGCTACTTTCCACATGGGCTGAAAAAACAACCCCGCGCCTTTTCTTTATGTAAGGGGCCGTCTCTGAACTTGTTTTGCAGGCCAAAACCATGGTAAACCGATACTGAGGAAAAACAAACGATTCCCCCAGAAGCCATGAAGACACACATCAGGTCCAAGTTGTTGTCGCAAGCCAAGATTGCGGGATCATAAATTTGCAGGGCCCAAACCGATACCCAAACCGATACCCAACCGATACCCAACTCATTAGCCGCCATGCCGAATCCAACCCGCTGCCCTGCAGCCTTCCCTTCAGCTGCCAAAATGTACTTTGTATACTACACTTTACTACACTTACTTGCACTGAAAAGCCGACTTTCGCGCCGGAGCTGCCAAAGTGTACTGCGTAGACTACTGAACAGTTGCGACTTTCCAGCTGGAGCTGCCAAAATGTACTTCGTGCACCACACTCAAAAGTTGCTGCTTTCGAGCCGGAGCTGGCAGAGTGTACTTCGTATACCAAAATCGTACGGAAAAGTCGCGACTTTCGAGCTAGAGCTGCCAAAAGACTGCAAACCGATGCTGAGGAAAAAACGATACTGACCGATACTAGGGCATAAGGATATAAGGCACAAGGATAGCAGGGTTGTCCACGGGGTTGTTTTTTCAACCCACATGGACATGGCAAAATCCATGGAGGGGGGCAATGAGGGGTTTCCTGTGGTTTGGCTTGAGCCAACCTGAACAAGGGCAACGTAAGGAGCTACCCTCCCTCCACCAGAACAACTGGCAGGCCCTTCAAAGGAAATTCATCTTCCAGGTGCCATTTTAGTACAGAGTGAAAGTCCTGACAGTCTACTCCTCCAATCAGGACCGATAATTAGGAGTTTTGGAGTGCCCCACAACCCCATTCTATTTGATTCAGGTCTTGTTAGTTACCAAGGCACCATTTTGTGCATGTTTTTGAGCCCTGTTGCCTTAACGGGCGCCCCAGACAGCGTGTCACGCCATCGGAACGAGGAATTCCAACATGCAGAGCGGAGTGGTGAAGTCCTGGAACGATGAGAAGGGCTTCGGCTTCATTGTCCCGACGCTTCTCGAGAAATTTGGGTACGTCTTCCCCTCCAAATGCCCTCCTTTCTGGGGCATTTGTGGAACAAAAAGGGAAGGGGGTTCCCACGGTAAGTACCTCCTTTTGAGTGGTCTTTCTGGGGTGTCTGTTGAGAAAAAAGCGGGTTTTCCACGGTAGGTACCCTACAAAAGAGGGGGCGGGGGGGTCTTTTGAGGGCAGCCTCTTGGGGACAAGTTGGATGTGTTGTAAAAATGGGGTTCCGATCGCTTGCGTCAAAGGACGATCATGTGCGCACCCTAGAAACCTTTTCTTGGCACCCCATTTAGGGTCACCAAGTCTACTCAGCTGCCCAATGACTATGACACGAAGGAACCACAGCCGGCAAGACAAAAGAAGCAGAAAGGCGCAGACGAAGCAAAACGAGCCAAAAGCTACTGAGCAGGGTTGTGGGATCAAGGGGTTTATCCCCACTTCTGTGATACAAGAAAATCTCCCCTTTTACATGGGGGGTTAATGTTTGGGAAGCCCTTTCGGTTGTATCACGTGGTTTCCATTTCCCACAGCCCTGCTACTGAGGGATAGCGGGGGCGATGACATCTTCGTGCACAGAAGCTCCCTCACCGATGGGGGGGTGCTGGTGAACGGCAGTCCCGTGCAGTATGAGGTCACCTGGAACGCTCAGAAAGGCCGGCTGAACCGACTCCACCCCCATCTGCTGAAATGAATATTGTGTATTTTCCCCTGTTGGTTTTGAAGGGGGATCGATTTCACTACTGGAAATAGTTTTTTATTTTTTCCTGAGACTTGGGCAAATGGACATCCAGGCTTGTAAAGCAATTGTTTGGGAATTTAATCCCCTACAAATGGGTGGTGTTCGGGTGTCATGTGTACCATGAACTCAGGATCTGGCCAAAAACACTTAGGGGTCATGGGTGCGTTATTTGACTCTTTGTTTGTTGTGCGATTCAACATATCCTTGTTTGGAATCTTGCTTTTCGGGTCTTGGCTTCAACGGATTTCTTTTGGAACCCTTTCGATGCTTCGGATATCTTTCAGCTCAGTTGGAGACTTTTTGCGCGAAGGGAATACCCTGAACTATGGCTGTGTATATTGAGTGACATCCTCAAAAACTACCCTCGATGGTTGTTTAAAGGGAAACCACCCGCAACAGAAAGTTTGAGAGTCCCTCAAAGCTCGCTTTAATGGATTCAGCATGGCCATATTCTCCAATTGAGGTCCTTGCCCCTAGAGATAGGGTGGATCCCCAAGACTTGCAAGCAAGCCGACCACATCCAATCCAAGCACAGAACCTGAGAAATTGCGGTAAAGTTCAGGGTTCCCATGCTGTTCCCATGTTGTCCCCTACTTGCAATATTGGGTTGCTACGCATTTTGTCGAAGAACACCTTTAACATGGTGGCGGACATAGATCATGCAAAGGATGTCCACCACACGGTCTCTTAATAGACTTTACACCCCAGTCACCTTCCCTGTCTGACATATTCCAAATGAGTTGGCGTTCGTGAAGTTCGGAACTTGACTCTTCAGTATCCGTAGCGATGGTCAAACATGAAGGTCTTGGTTTCCTCAACATGGTTTTGGTTACTACTTAGGCCGAACATCCACCAATGTAGCTTCACCACGGTGTTTGGTTCCTGCTGAGTAGATTGAACATCCAGCATGTAGAAAGAGCAACAACTCATTATAGGATGGGAATGACATCGGATGAATGGGTTGCTTTGCTTAATAGTGAGACGCGGATTCCCTCAAACAAAAGAAGGACGAAGCTGGGCTAGCTGGAGAACAGAAACAACGTAGATGGCAAAATTCCCTTTCTTGGGGGTAAGTACAGCGGATGAGTAAAGCAAACTGACGGAATTTTGCCATCCACTTCCCAGCTGAAAATTGGACACCCCCCCTGCTCAAGTTCCATTTGCTTTAGAATAGTTCTTATTTCCCTCTGGTTTTAAAGGCAATGTATCGCTGTATGTTTCTTCCAGAGGACTTACCCTCCCGTCCACGTTGCCATGGAACCTCACTGAGGGCTGGAAGACAAAACCTTCCCCAAGGGCCAGTAAGTTCCATGGCAACAGCCAGCGTGGACAGGGGAGAACGCATCCTTTGTTAGGGAACCCTCCCCCCACAAAGAAAATGGCAAGGGTTTCCTGCTGGTTTCCTTTAAACAAAAACACATGAGTTGGTGCCTGAAGACACACCGAATGAGCCACAATCAAAGCCCAGGCAGATGAAGGTTAGCAAGGGACAATCCCAACTATAAATGGGTTTCTTTCGCGATCTTAATCCTTACATGGTTCTAGACAATTGAAATTCCGCTTGGTTTGGTTTACGACGCAACTGGGCGTGTCTTTTTTTTGCGGAACCTCCAAAACGGCTTCGGTGTGCCTTTTGGTTTCCCTTTGAACCCACCCCCAAAGAGGAGCCACAAAAACGAGCCGCACAAACACACGAGCCGCAAAAACAAGCCTTTTGATTCCTTGTGGTGGGTATTCAACAAAGACGCGCCACAAAAACCGACGCAGCGGCCGAGCATTTTGGAGGCAAGAGCCAGGCCTCGAAGGTGACGGGGGCCTCGCCCCAGAAGGCCGAGCGGAGAGGAAAACACCGGCGAGCGAGTGAGGTGGTTGTGTTCTCGTCTTTTTGTTGGTTCTAAAGGGAAACCAAAAGGAACTCGTCGTTGTTTGAGTGGATGCCAACCTTTGTTTGCTTGCTTTGGTTTCGAAGGGGAGCCAAGCGGAAAACCGGACCCCGCCGATTTGGGGGTCCAAATCGCTTTTGAGACAAAGGCAGATGTGCCATGGTCAAAAAGACCGGTTCCTTCGTTTGGGGTTACTAGGGAGGGTCATCCAAGAGTAAGGAGTCCTTAATGGGCCATAATGATTCCTATTGAGGGAAACATTACCATAGGTTATACACGGAATTTTTAATCATGGCACATATGGGTGTGTCTGAATTTGGGGAACCCCTCCCCCCCCCCCCAAGAAAAGGCTTCTGTTGTCCTTTTGGCTTTCCTTTCAAATCACTAACACAAGGGTACCCTCCAAAACAACACACCCATATTAGACAAGGACCAAAATCATTATCACGAGAGTTTGGGGCACATTGCCACTTTGTTTAGTCATTCCTCAATGATACAGCAAGCCATTTGTAAAACACCCCGTGTTTTAAGAACTTGGTGGGGATTTGTGTGGCGTGTCCCCTTTCAAAGACAAATGGTTCTTCCACCAAACAATTGCAAAATAAAAATACCCGGGGAGACGGTTGATGCCCGAAGTATTGCTAGGTAATAAGTTGACCCTCAATTTTTCGTAGGAACGATCTTCACTTCTCTTGGTACCTTAAGGTGGTCTTGGTACCTTAAGGTGATGGTGTACTTGACTTTAAAACACCATTGTAGGTCATGACCATAGGATAGTAATGTGATAGCAACTACTCGTTGTTGCTTTTTCTGTACACCCTTTGAGGGTGGCAACGCTCGCTCGGAGTCAGTCTGCCCATTTGATGGAAAGCTCAGCGATTCCGGGCTAAATCGAGCTCACCGTGATGTAGAACGGAGTGATACCTTCTGTTCATGGTCGGTTTTGCGTGTATTTCATGGGAAAAGAATCCGTGACAGCCTGGCAATTTTCCCTACGGGTATCGTGGTCATCATGATGAGTGGTCAAGCAAGGGAAACTCAAGGTTTGCTGTCCATGTTGGTTCATGATCGTTCAAGATTCATGATTATTTGTGCATGTTGATGATGCTTGTTTTGACATATGCTGACACTGTCTTCATCAGCTTGTTTGAGCGCCTTACAGAGCAAGGTTTCACGGGGTTGGTTTAAAGCGAATCCAAAAAGGCCA